TTACTTGTATGCTTAGAAACAAATAGCTGCAAGACTCTTGCAACATCCTAGCCTATAGTATGGAGAAAAGGAAAGCTTCAAAACTCGGGCCTGCAGTGCGACGCTTTCTGTATATATATATATATATAATTATTATATATGTCCCAAAGGCCTACCTAGATGTGGCTTGGCCAGGGCGGGGCGGGGGGGGGGGGGTTCGCACCCTTTCAGCAAACCTCCTTGCAACCATAAGTAAAGAGGGATCCTACCGACCGGAGCCCTCAGATGCCCAGAGGGCCCAAGTACTAAACCCTAAACCCTAAATAGTTGGGTTTTAGATCCCAAAATCCATACTCTGAGAGGTTTTGGGACCTTGAAACTCTACTATTTGGCTACTTGGACCCTTTGGGATGCAAACAGTGACTAAATCTAAAGGATCAATCTGAAATTGACGGCTGCCGTCTCACCTCATCTTGCGCTGTGATGTATGGAAGTGCTCAACATCGGCACATCGCTTTACTTATCCCTAGGGCTCCAAGTATGCAAATAGAACCTACTTTGGGGTCTAAAGTCTGTAGATACTACCTACTTGGGGCTATTTGGAGCCCCAGGGTTATGACTTGGTGAGAAGAACATCTCGTTGCTGCAAGTAAGGAGGCGCTTGACGCAAGGGCCCCGAAATGTCTGCAACAACCTTCACTTAAAGGTTCATGGGACTCAGTAATCAGGGTTATACATAAGGTAACCATACTTCTAATTACTTACAACCCCACTTAAGGTACTTATGACTGTACTTATTAAGTCCCATGAGCCTCCGAGCAGGGAATGTAATCCTAAAGCCCCTGAACCTCTGAACCAGGGTTTGGGGTTCGGGGCTCAGCGTGTTGAAAACTGGCCTCACCGGGAAAGTCCGGAAAGTTTTGGCCGATGATGTAAAGCCTCGGATTGGTTTCGTGTTAGGGTGCGCTGTTTAGAAGCGTGGCCAAAGTTGTTTAGGTGTGTCTGCTGGTTATAAATACACATACTTAGATCTCGGTCTTCATACAGCTTCAGCATATCCGCAAAATCTTCTGCGACTTGGAACTGCGACAGAGCATACTTACATTAAGTACTGTGAACACCCAGGACCCCAAAAGCCTCACATACCCGCACACATACCCAAATGTCGACTTCAAGCCTAAGTCGGAATCTCATAAAGATCTTCAGTTAATAAAGGACGACCCTAAGTTAGCTGCAGACTTTACAGTGGGGCCAGGAAGAGTTGCCAGCTTCACTCCAGAAATCTTTCGGCTCGATTGAAAGGTCTTGACTATGTTCACTCCATATTCTATATACGTATATACACGCACTCTAGACAGATGGATTAGATAGATAGACAGACAGACAGACAGATAGATAGATAGATGGGTTGATAGATAGATAGATAGATAGATAGATAGATAAATAGATGGATAGATAAATAGATAGATAGATAGACAGATAGAAGATAGCCTATCCATCCATCCATCTATCTATCTATCTATCTATCTATCTATCTATATCTCTCTCTATGTATATATATATATATATATGGTTTAGGGTTTTAGGACCAACCTTAAACCCTTAACCCTAAACCAAAGCGAGCACGGGTGAGACTTGGGGTCTGGTCCGAAAGGAGAGGGGCGCCCGTGTCTTCTTCTTCACAGCTTTCCGTCCATGCCTAGGCCCTACAGCTTATAGTGTTTAGGGTTTAGGGCTTTAGGGCTTTAGGGTTTTAGGTACTGAACTTAGACCCCTAGCAAAAATTATAATTTTAGCTGCTTCTTAGGGTTTATACTAACCAAAGATTAAAAAACTATTTCTAAGTACCCCTAGGGTCTTCTTCTTCACAGCTTACCGTCCATGCCCAGGCCCTACAGCTTATTGTGTTTAGGGCTTTAGGGCTTTGGGGTTTTATGGTTTACGGCTTTAAGGTTTTAGGGCTTTAGGGTTTTACGGCTTTAGGGTTTTAGGGCTTCAGGGTTTTAGGGTTTTAGGGCTTTAGGGTATAGGGCTTTAGGGCTTTAGGGCTTTTGGCTTTTGGGTTTAGGGCTTTAGGGTGTTAGGGTTTAGGATTTAGGGTTCAGGGCTTAGTGCCCTTTTGGGGTTGATTTTTTTCGAGTTTAGGTTCACGTAGGGTTGCCGTTTTTCCTTTTTTTTCTTATAGGGTCCTATCCATAAAGGGTAAGGTCTAGGTATTCGGCCGTAGCCTTCCACCCATCACTTTCAAATCCTAAACCCTCGCATGTAAAGCCTAGACGCTAAAACTTCATAAACCCTAAACCCTAAACCCTAAACCCTATATAAACCCTTAACCCGACAACCTGAAACCCAACTCCTCAAGCATCAAGCCTGAACAGATGTCCGTCACCTTGATCCTTAGCATCGTATCAACATGGCAGCCCCAACTATGATGTATGCCAACATCCGATTGAAAATAGCCTATTCTAGTCATTGAGGCCACTAAGGTAAACCGACACAAAGAAGCGAAACCCGAACAACG